CTCTTCGTTGAACTGATTCGCTTCTAGCTGAGAATCGCAGAAAGCTCTTATCTTTCGAACCTCACTTCCGGGTGCCAACATTAGGCCATCAATTAGTGCTTCATACTCGGCCTTGTTGTTCGAGACGGAAAGACTGTTCCAAGATTTCTCCTGTTGGTGATGTGAGACGAATCCCAACACCTGAACCTTGTCTTGATGACGAGCCGTCGATGTGTAGCATCCAAGTGTCTTCCGAGGTGGACTCATCCATTGCATCGAGAGGGAGTTCGACAAGGAAGTCTGCGAGCACCTGAGACTTCGCGAACAATCTATTCTGATAATCGATATCGTATTCGCTAAGTTCGACTGCCCATTTGGCGAGGTGGCCTGATTGGCTTAGGCTGTTGTGGCGTACTAAGGCCTTTTGTATTGAACTTTGTGCAGAGTTCGGACTGGTCTATCCTGTGGATGATCTGGTGCCTCAAATGCAGAATAAGAATCACAATAGAACTTGACAGCATCAAACTTGATGATTGAATCTATGTATGGCATTTCAATCATCTTAGGTGATTCATCCTCCACATTTATGACATCTGGTCCTTCTTATGTGATCTTCATGCATGGGATGTAAGATTCATGCTCTTCTATGTCTGCAGATTCTTGGTGGTGTGAGCTCAAGGAGAGATGGAGGTCTCCTTCGGATGATGACGTCGCACCCACAGCCAAGTCTTTTCTGGCCGCGGGTGAAGCTCTCACGGCCACGGTGAGGATGGGCCTGGCCGTGGCTGAAGTCCTCGCGGTCGTGGTGAGGAACTCCGAAGGTTGTTCAGCTGCTTATCCTTCTTGCTCTTCCAGGATGTCTTCAGGGTTATTCTGGGTGTCCATTGTGGGATCTCCTGCATCAGAATTGGTTGATCCTCCTTTTTGCTGACCATGAACAAGCGAATCCTTCTTATGATTCTCAAAGATCTTCCTCACAACAAGGTTTGTGTTTCCTTGGCACTTAGAGAGATGCTTGATGTCAGAACTGGTTTCCATGCTCTTGTGCTCAAGCTTGCTCAGGAGAAATTCAATCTCTTGAAGTTCACCATCTGTCCTTCCTCTGTACCATGAAGCGATTTCATTAGCCTCCTTGATCTCTAGCTTAGCGGCCTTGGCATCGATGGATCCTTGAAGTATATCATACTTCTGTCTTGGCTGCTCTTCCTCAAAAGCATCTATCTTCCTCTTTAGGGCAGCAATGTCTTGAGAGTGCAGATCTTCTAGCAATTTCACATGGTGAGTGAGGTCATCGATCCTCTTGTACAGGGTAGCTTCCGTAACAACTTGGAAATCAAGGTATTGATTCAGAATAGCTCCTAATCGATTCAGTTGGAGCCTAAATCGATCAGCTTCAGCGTTTTGGTGCAGAATCTGAAGAGGAAGAGGATGAGATGGTCGACGGTTCACCAGGTGCGGCGGATAGGGCTCATCTCGATGGTGTGGAGGTCGCGAGTCTCCATGGTTGTCGTTCGGATTAGGGTTCCGAAGATGATGATCAAGATCACGCCTGGAGGGTGATTAACATGCGCAAGGAGCTTCACACAGGTCGCAGGACCTTCGCTCAGGGTTAGGGTTTCTCCTTGGATGATCCATGCTTCAAAGGTTTCTGAAACTAGGGCAAACAGAAGAAAGAATAAGCAGAAAAAGAAAAAGTTATGGTGTTTATGAATTTGGTTTACTTCCTATGTTGCTTTGGCAGAAACTCGATATATATATAGTCTTCTGCGGCTTCAACCTCCCAGGTTTAGACCTCCAAAGACTAAAATCCTCCCCGGCAACAGCGCCAAAAACTTGGTGGGCTTGCGGGCCTAGGGTTAATTTTTAATAAGCCCGTTGGTCCTCCAAAAGTTTTAAATTTATAAAACCCTAGTGTCTGCAAGTGCACAGATGTACGTTGTAGGACTTAGGGTGTCGATCCACAGGGAGAATGTCTAATCTGCGAGAAACAACAAAGTGGGAAGTAAGCAAACTCATAAACCAATAAAAGTTTTGGGATTTGGTTAAGATCCTAAACTAAACCTAATCTAATATTCACAAGAATGCAATGCAGGATGAATGTTAAAAGAACATCTAAAGCATATCGACTCAAACTAAAGACTCTTAAACTCATAGGTGGCGATTTAGACTTCTCCAGTTTACTCTAATCGATGTATGATGGCATTTCCAATTAGCTTCTGGGCGATTTATCTTCATCTGTTTCTGGGAATCTGCATTGAACTAGAATAGACATGTGTATCATTAACCAGCTGTCGTCACCTTAATCAACTAATCACTTAGATCTAGGAATTAACTCTCGCTCTCATGCTAAACTTAAAATCATGCATTAGACATTGAATTCGTCTGCTCACATCTTCTCTATAGATAGCTTTCGACTCGTATAGCGACTATGTTCTTCTGAAGCTAGGTATTGATGATCTGATACATCACTCTCGTGGCTCTGATCGATCCTAGGCTCATAAAATAGGTCATGAATCTACTCTCATGCTTTAGGAATAACTTAGAACAAATGAGATCCAGAATATGGTCTAGAACAATAGAAATCCTAATCGATATATATGCTTGTCGATATCTTCAAACAACTTGACTCTCTGGGACAAATCTACATGATGCAATGAATGATAAAAGACATAAAAGAATGCAAAAGAATGAAACAGAAAAATTAATAGAATAGAAAGGAGAAAGAACAATGGATCTGGGTAAGAATCCCCATCTCCATTGCCTAACCCTAGAAAAACAGAGTTTGGTGGCTCAAAATCTCATTACAGGAGCACACACCCGTTTAGAGCTGCTAAACAATGTATTTATAGGTCCTAAGGTCTTCCAGGTCTCATTTAGGGCTTCTCTGAAGAGAAATGGCGAAGTGGGCTTTGATGTTGGGCCTTGTGGCTCGTCCTAAGGTCCACCGGGGGTGAGAGTCTTCCAGGGCAGGTAAAACATGTGTTTACCGCGGGTGAGAGTCTTCCGGGACTGGTGAACTGTGTCAACTTGTTCTCCATGTATCTTTTGATTGCGCCATTGGATCTTTGTGATGTAAAGTGCTATGGAAAGCTGGTTGTCTCCTCTTTATTGTCTCCAAATTTGAGCAGGATCAGACGGTGAGAAAGTCTTCATTTGTGGTTGAACTTCTCACGGTCTGACTTTGAGCTAAAAATGTGGATTTCTTCCATTTTGCCATCATATTCCCTAAGTTTCCTGAAAAGAGCCTTGAAACTACAAATACATAGAAATAATAATAAAAGTTCCTAAAACTAAGTAAAACCTTTGAAAAAGCATTTGAAATCAATGGTGAAAACTGGTCAAAATCGGGTGTTATCAATACGACAATATAAAGAAAAAGGGGTTCTCTCGGAACCGGTTTTGCTAAGACTGGTGAGCTCGCCAGATAGGTTGTGATCGATGCTTAGGTAAGATTCAGTGGAGGTGGAGCTGATTAATGAGATTAAAGATTCAGTGGAGGTGGTGCTCATATAAATGTTTACTAATCTGGCTAACATTGAACTTGGTAAAATGAAATGGTTGAATAATTGAAAAATGAGATTATTCAGGAATTTCTTATATACGAAATATGGGATTTCACTAAGCCAATTCTTATGAAATCTCGAATCAAACCCTGTGTGCTTGATCATATAAATGTTGACTAATCTGGCTGATTACGGAAAAATACAAAAGTCAACAACACAATATTACAATAATTAAGTGATAGAAGGATAATATTTGGTTTTCATTTACTAAACTAAAACATCAAAGCCTAGTTTTGCTATATCAAGACAAACATACTTTAAGACAACTCAAGAGTCGTTGTTCTTTTTATAACACCACTAATCTAAATTTATACCTGCTAACACTAAAGCCGCTTTGCATCTGTCGTTCCATTCAAATTTCTTGTTCCTGCAAAGAGTATCATAGAAGGGGAAGCACTTATCAGTTAATCGCAAAATGAATCATTTCTGTTGTTTGGATTGATACACTTCTGTTGCATCAACAAGAAGCTGAATATTTGAAGCTTCAAGGATTAACAGGGTAGCTTCTCTGTTAGCGGTGTGGTTTTTTGGTGATACATCCATGGATACCGGCGGACTCTCAGAAGCTCTCTATCTGATGCCACGTGGTCTTTGTATTTCCTTTTATTGAACATGTGTTCCTTAACGTGTCTGTTTTTAATGTTTTTAGTGTTCAATTTGTAACTGATCCGATATGTGTATCACTTTTTTATGATCTTTTGGGTTGTCGATATAAAATAGATTGAGAAAAAAAAAGAACAGTAAAACAAATTATATTTAGGGTAGGTTCATATTTTTCCCTTTCTCTGACAATCTTCATAAGATGGGTCTCCTTTAATCACCCTCCTTGATCTTTCTTTTTGGGGAGACGTAAGTCTCTACCTCAAAGTTTAAGGTAGAGTGTTCTCTTTTGGAATTATGAATCGAATGTTGACTAACTGTATGATTTTCTTAAGACATCTTGCTGTCAAGTCAATTAAGTTTCTCGTTGTACGGTTATTTCGGTGATTTGGAGAACGATCCAACCTTTCTTACCGGTGAAACTTAGAGAAAAAGATGTTTGGAGTGATACACTTTTGTTGCATCGACAAGAAGCTGAAGAGTTGAAGCTTCACTGCAGAGGATTAACAAGCTAGCTTCTCTGTTGGTGGTGCAGTTTTTCGGTGATACATCCATGGATATCGGCGGACTTTCTGAAGCTCTCTATTTGATGCCACATATCTTTGTTTTTCCTTTTATTGAACCCGTGTTCCTTGTGTCTGTTTTTAAAGTTTTTTAGTGTTTAATTTGTAACTTAGCCGATATGTGTTTCACTTTTTTAATGGCCTTCTGTTCTTCAATATAAAATCGATTGTGACAACAACAAAAAAAGAAAAAAAACAGTAAAACATATTGGGCTGTCTCTTATCTATATCGAGCCTAGAACATTAGATAAAAAAATTAAAATTCATTTACAACTAGAAAATTTGACTAAAAATCAATACTTTTCGCAAACGCTCTAGAAAAAGGCGATTTCCAGGCGATTCTCGCGAAACCCTAATTTCGACCTAGTCGATCTAGATTTCCAGATTTCTGGATCAAATTTCCTATCGAATCTTCTCTACATCATCATCGACATGTCAATCGAACCATTAGAAACCCAGAAAGAGCTCTGGCAATCTCTGCAGGGACTCAAAATCGGGGCTGATCAAGAAGCTTAGTCGGTTCATCAGGATGCACAGATCGAGTTTCAGAGAGATCATCGCTTGTGTTTGGTAGCTAAAGTTATTAATCCCGATCATCAGAATCGAGCAGGAATCAAGTCATCGATGCCAAGGGCATGAAGTTTAATTGGACATGTAGAAGCTCAGGTTAACGATGATGACACAATTAATTTCTATTTCAAAAAGGAGCACCATCTGATGACTGTTCTAGAAAGAGGTCCATATAATTACAGAGGATGGATGATTGTTCTGAATTGATGGAGTAACATGAGGTATCCATCCTTTCTTCGACATATTCCGTTTGGATCAAGATTAACAAGCTTCCAGCCATGTATCGAAGAAGAGGTATTGTCAACAGTATCAGCTCTAAACTTGGTCATGTAGATGAAGTTCTTATCATCGAATAGACAAAAACCCATCTTCCTGAAGTCTGGGTTAAGGTCGACTTTGATGTTGACTCTACCATCACGCTAGCTCAAAGTGTTGAATTTATGGCCAATACACCACCAGTGGAGCTAGAGTTCAAATACACGGGTCTTCAAAAATTATGTACTACTTGTGGTAGTTTGAAGCATGGGTATGAAGCTTGTCCAAAATGTTTATCTCTACCTCCACAAATTGGCCAGTTGATGATGGTAGGGAACAGTCCTTATACCACTGCAGCTAATCGACATCAAGCTATACAAGGATTAAATACTTTTCTGCAAACTGGTGAAACCTCTGGAGCAATGAATTTTCCACTCCTGTTAGCTCAACCCCCAATTCAGAACACCAATACGAATGGTGCTTCATCAAGTTCTGCATTAGCTGGTGTTCAAAGAGATGCATGGTATACACCAGTAGCTGATACGAAGATGGAAATGGCTGAGCAAGGAACCAAAAGAAAAATTCCCGATACAGCAGGAGAAGTCAATCTTTCTTCTTCAAAGAAACAGACTAGCACTGCAGCAAAGAACAAAGGTTTGGTGGTTGCCCTTAAACCACAAAAAGAGCCATGAAGATCTTTCATATGTATTGTCAAGGATTAGGGAGCACCTTGACAATTCAGTACTTAACTGATATCAGGAAGTTTTCTAAACCTGATATCATGCTCCTTACAGAAACCAAAATTGGTTATGATGCTGTAAATAAGCTTTGTAAGGATCTTAATTATGCCCACTCTTTTGTTCTTCTGGCAGATGGGCTTAGTGGTGGGTTAACCATTTTTTGGGATGTTAATATTGAGCTAACCGTAGGTGCTTCTCCTTCTTTCTTTACTACTGATGTGTATATTGCTGATGGTGCTAATATATTCTGTTTATCGTATATCTATGGTCATCCAATTTTGAAGACTCGTAATATGCAGTGGAATATAATTATTTTTGAGGTGAATGCAGGTGTTTATAGCAGCAGGCCAAGATTAGCTTTAGGTGACTTTAATGATATTAAGTATTCCTCCGAAAAAGAAGAAGGAAAAACCAGGTCTGAGTCCTCATTCTATACTTTTCGTAAAATGCTTTCAACCTGTGGTTTCCATGATGTTAGAACTTTTGGTGGAAAGTTCACATGGGTAGGTACTCGTCACCAACACACGGTGAAACTCGTATTGATATAGCTGTAGCTACGAGTGATTGGTTGGACCTATACCCCACCGCTTATATTCAAGTTTTGCCTTGGCAGTGCTCCGACCACATGGCTCTTATTTTACATACTGAAACTTCAAAGTGGAAAGGAAATAAGCTATTTCGGTATGATAGTAGATGGCGGTTTAATGCTGATCTTAAGGAAGATCTTCGTAAGGTATGGGAAGAAAAATGTCAAGCAAAATCATGTCAGAACTTTAGTAAGGCTTTAGAGCTCTGTCGTCGTAGAATGTCCAATTGGAAATGACAAACACTCACTAATTCTCAAAAGATGATTCATAATTTGAAAACTCTGCTGGGACAAGCTTATGAAGCCACTCCTTTGGATTACCATGTCATTGGTAATATTAAAAGTCAACTTGCTCATGCTTACAGGTTGGAGGAGGAATATTGGAGACTTAAAAGCAGAACTTTATGGTTGACAGCATGAGACAGGAACACTAAGTTTTATCACGCAAAAACTAAGCATGAAGATCTCTCAATCGGATTACTTCTTTAGCTGATGCAGATGGAAACGTTTATATAAAGCAGAAGGATATCCATAATCTCATAACTAACTACTTCTCTTCTCTTTTTTCTCAGAGCCAACGGGTGGTCCTGTCAAATTTCTTGAAAACCTCCAACCACGAGTAACTGAACATATGAATAACTTCCTCGTCAGACCTGTCTCGGAGAAAGAGGTTTATAATGCACTCCAGCAAATGAATGCTGATAAGTCTCTTGGACCGGATGGTCTTACTGCGGCATTCTATAAAGACCATTGGCTGACTGTTAAAGATGGAGTGGTACGTTTTATTAAGCATTTTATGGAAACTTTTGAACTAGGCCCGGTTTTAAATAGAACTCACATCTGTCTGATCCCAAAAGTTGAGAACCTGATATGTTCATAATTTGCATCATTTAGGTTGCATAAATCATTCCAAATCATGTTTTATTTCATGCATCTTAGGTCCTTAGGGTTTGTTTTAGAACTTAGGAGATGCATTAGGTCCCAATGAGTCTTTGCATGTTTTGAGTGTCTATCAGGTGAATATGGAGCTGAAAAGATGAATCCAGGAGGTGGAATGGTGAGCAAAGAGTGAAAAAGTTGAAAAATTGGGTCTTGGGAGATTTTCGGCCATTCTCGCTGGCCAGGAAGGTTTCACCGGCCATTTTCATGTACCGCGGGAAGCTTTACCGGCCATTTCCATGTACCGCGAATGAAGTGTATCGGCCAAAATCTCCGGGTGTGAACGAGTCTCAGAAATCGCCTGTCCGGGGAGCCTTCCGGTCCGATTCAGACGGCGGGTCCTTCATAGAAGTTGGAGAGCATTGGAGCACGGTCTCATAGCAAGTGGAATCGTGGAATTCGGACGCGTAAGCAGAGAGATAAGCTAGTCGGAAGGAACCCCTATCTCGCAGGTATTCCGGACCGAGCAGATCAGTTTTGAAGGATGCGAAGGACGGTGCACTTCCACTCTGATTCAGTTTCCGGGGCCTTCATGAGAATCAGAGACATTTGAGTCTTCTTTCCAGAACATCCGAGATCAATCAATTCGGAGCTTTGAGCAGAAAGATACGGTCTCCGGAATGGACACATGTCTAGGCGCCTCTCTCTGGTCGTGTAAATGCGCTTCAAAGATGTGCCCTCCAGGAAACCTTACACTTCCCAAGCACTGAAACTTCCTTCATCAAAGTTGGAGATAAATGAGTTCTCTGTCTTCTGCAACCGGAATTACTCAATTCGGACAGGTCTCCAGGAAGTTACACTCCGGAATGCGAGATGGTCCAGACAGCCCAGGATGACTAAGTTAAACATGCCGCGATTTCAATGCCACGGTCCACACTTGGCCGTGGCAACTTTTGTGCACCCTCGGCCAATGACACGATATAAATGCCACGGTGTGAGGCTTGACCGTGGCAAACACACACTTGGCTGAGAGGAACTTAGCAACCGTTCGGCGATTGACACGGCCTAAATGCCACGGTGTGAGGCTTGGCCGTGGCAACATCTTGCAACCTTCGGCGATTAGCACGAGCTTAATGCCACGGTCTGGGACTTGACCGTGGCAAATGAACAAGTGGCTGGAGATAACTTCTACACAGTTTCGGCTTTTGACACGATCTCAATGCCACGGCCTGAGACTTGGCCGTGGCAAGCATATACTTGGCTGGAAAGGACTTCACATACATGCGGGTTTTGGCACGGTCTGAATGCCACGGTCTGGGGGTTTGACCGTGGCAACCTTTACATATCTTCGGCGTTTGACACGGTTAACTTGCCACGAGTCCCAGATGAAGCTTAATCAGACCGTGGCATCAAAATGAACCAAGAACACAATGAAGTCTTTGACACGGTCAGGAATGCCACGGTCACACCAAGGACACACCAGACCGTGGCAAACCCTTCTTTGCCCATCAAGGCCGGGTCAGTACCCGGTTTGTTCCGGGTTGACCCGGTTCGCCCAAGCTTCCTTTATAAGGTTTTTAGACCTAATTTGTAGAGAACACTTAATCTACTTTTAGTCTTTTTTCCCCTTTTGTGAAAAACCACTTAATACACTTTGTTTTAGAGAGTTTAAATCGATTTGCAGTTTCTTTCCATCTTGTTCATCATTCCTATTCATCAAAATCAACTTCTAATCATGATTAACAACACATCTTGCAAAGGATCTAGTGTGTTGATCATGATTTGTGAGTAGTTACCTTAATGAGGTTCTAGATGTAGGTTAGGGTGCTAAAGTGTTAGATTAGGAGTGCTTAGGGCTAGATTCATTGGTTCATTTCTCTAAACAACTATTCTCTATGCTAGATCCTTGATAATCACTTGAGATCTAGATTCTGGGAATTTCATGCACCAAAAGTGTTTGATGAAATTCCTGAAAGAGTTGTGTTAGAGGTTTAAGTAATTTTTCATCATGGGAATGACTTGTTAAATGCTTGAATGATCATTGAGAACTGTTTATTAATGCATATTGATTCATATTTCACAAATGGGAATTTGGTTTGAAAATGGATTAGTATAGGGGTTAATACCTTCATGAGAGGATTAACATAGATTAGAGTTCTTAATCACTTGAATCATGTCTCATCATTGTCATTAGCATTCCTAGTTTAACACCAAAGCACCCTAACCATCTATCATGTCTAGAATCTCATGCCTCCATCATATCTTATTCACACCATTTGTCATTGTCATTAGTCTTTAATCCTGTTTATGTTTATAGTTGTCTCTAGATTAATCAAGACCCACTCTTGTTTGCTTGAATTAAGAACTTGATCATATAGCTTAGTGTCTAACACCACATCTGGATTGATAAACCTCTTTGTGCTACATTGACAAGGGGATTGATAGCCCTGAGACCCTAAAAAATCTTGTCTATCAATTGGCGCCGTTGCCAAATTGTGGTTTGATTAGCATTAAGCTCTGATCTGTTCTTGAGATCAAGTGCTTACTTTCTTGTTTTTACTGATTCCTTTCAAGTTCTGTTTGTGATTTCAGGTGTATGAACACCAGGTCTAGATCAAGAAGCTGTGGTCCTCCTTTTCCTCTAAACGACAACATCAACCTTTGGTACCAAGGAGGAGAAGAGACAGACGTGGTAGACAAATTGATCAGACTGAGATGGCAGAAAAAAGAGATCACATGGTAGATATAGAACAACCGGTTCAAGAGCAACAGGCTCAAGGTAATAGAGCTGGTAATGGAGTTGGTCAAGGGCTTCATCAGGGTAATGTTCATCAGGAACAGGTGCACCATCAACAAGCTTATGTCCACCAAGGACAAGCTCAAGCTCATCAACAAAGGCATCAGGCCAATGTTCAGCAAGGACACCAGGTGCACCACCAACCCCACCCTTTCCAACCACAGCAAAGAAGATATGAGCAACCCCAAGTCTATGTTGGAGAGAATGACAGGGCCAATGCTCATCAGTATGGAGCTGGTATTCAGGCACCACCTGTGCAAAACAAAAACTTTGAAGTGAAAGCATCATTGCTGAATATGGTCCAGAACTCAAAGTTCCATGAGTTAGCAATGGAAGATCCCTTGGAACACTTGGACCAGTTTGATAAGGTGTGTGATCTGACCAAGATAAATGGAGTTTCAGAAGACAGCTTCAAGCTAAGACTATTCCCATTCAGTCTTGGTGATAAAGCTCATCAATGGGAGAAGAATCTTCCAAGAGGCTCCATTCAAACCTGGGAGCAATGCAAGCAAGCCTTCTTATCTAAGTTCTTCTCCACCTCAAGAACTGCAAAACTGAGGAACCAAATCTCTAGCTTCACTCAGCACAGCAATGAAAGTTTTGGTGAAGCATATGAGAGATTCAGGAGCTACACAAACCAATGCCCACACCATGGGTTTAGTGAGGCTTCTCTTCTCAGCACACTGTATAGGGGAGCTCTTCCCAAGATTAGAAACCAGCTGGATACTGCTTCCAATGGGAACTTTCTGGGTAAAGAGATACATGCTGCTTTAGAGCTAGTAGAGAACTTAGCATTGAGCAATGACACTTATGGTGAAGACTATGACAGATCAAATAGGTCTGAAGGTTCAAGCTCAGAACAGAGGCTCACCAGAGAAGTTAAGGAGTTGAGGAGTGAATTGGACAAGCTGAAATTCACCACTCAGAAGCCAATGCATTTTGTTGGAGAGTATGAGGAACCTTCTCAAATTTTTGAGAACATAAGTGAAGAAGGTCTTACCCAAGAGGAGCTCAACTACATTGGGAATCAGAGGTTCCAAAGATATCAGTATGGTAATGCCAATCCAAACCTCTCTTACAGGAACACCAATGTAGCTAACCCACAAGACCAGGTCTATCCCAATTCTCAAGCTCCAAAGAACTTTGTTCCCAAGAACAACTTTCAACGGTCATTCCAACCCAAGAATCAATTTGGTCAGAATCAGAGTTTTGGTCAGCAACAGCAACCATTTCAGGGCACTGGTTACACTTCACAGCAGCCAAAGGCACCACCAGGGTTTGGTCCACCACAGTTCCAACAGCAGGCGCCGGTTCAACAACAGTTTCAGCCACCAATGGTCCAACAGCAGCCACAGATGGGTACAAATATGGTTGGTATTCTGCAACAACTACTTCAGGGTCAACAGACTATGCAGCAGGAAATCAAGGAACTGAAGCAAAACCAAGCATCAAGCTCAAGGAACCAAGGTCACATACCTGGAAAACCAGAACCCAACCCCAAGGAATATGCCAAAGCAATTACACTGAGGAGTGGCAAGGAATTACCTGGTATTGAGAACAACAAAGTGATCATTGAGGACAATGATCAACCTGAGGGGGAGGCAGCCTTAAAGGATGATCAAGTTGCTGAGAAACCAAGGACAGAAAAAGGTAAAGAGGTAGCAAAGGAACCAGAACCAGAGAAGAAGTATGTGCCACCACCTCCATACCAACCCAAGCTCCCATTTCCAGGGAGATTTAAGAAGCAACTAGTGAACAAGGCAAGAGCTGTATTTGAGAAGGCACTCAAAGAGACACCACTCACAATGCCTCTCATTGATGCATTCCTAATGATGCCAAAGATGAGGAAGTTCTTGAAGGATGCAATTCTGAACAAGACAAAAGAGCTTCAAGGCATGGTAGTACTAAGTCATGAATGCAGTGCTATCATTCAGAAGAAGTCCATTCCAAGGAAGTTAACTGATCCAGGGAGCTTCACACTCCCTTGTGCCATTGGACCTCTTCTATTCTCTGGATGTCTTTGTGATTTAGGAGCATCAGTCAGCTTGATGCCATTCTCCATAGCTAAGAAGTTGGGCTTTAGAGTTTTCAAACCCTCAAGGATTTCTCTTATCCTTGCAGATAGATCAGTTAGATTGCCTGTTGGTATGTTGGAAGATCTACCTGTCAAGATAGGTGGTTTTGAAGTTCCAACAGATTTTG